GGGAAAAGTCTTGAACAGCAGGCAGAGAATAGTACCAAGGAGAGGCTCATAGACAGGGGTGGCAGGGTAGGAAAGCAATGAGGATTTTTGACAGGCAGCTGGGACCTGGTGATTCAGGGGCAATTTCTCATTTATGGAACAGATACCTGGTGCCAAGCACTTGATGGAAGCAAATGCACTTAATCCTCATGAGAGGATTTCCCCATACCCTCAGAACTGAGAAATAAAGTCTTTTATATTGTGAGTGTATATATATGAGTGTGAACATATATCACACATGCATACATACACTACAATATTAACAGAGCAGCACATTCCTTCTTGAAATCGATTTCCCCTTACCATGTTATGGCGTTTTCCCTTGACAGGAAGAACTCCTCGACAATAACAATGCCATTTTCTCCCAGGGAGAAATCTTGGAGAGAGAAGAGGTATCTGGAGTGGGGGAGAGGGGACTCCCTTCCTCCTGATCCCAGGACTCCTGGACTTAGCCTCCAAGCAGGACTGGAGTTGAAGAGGGAAAAGATGCAAGAGCCTCAGACGGTGAGCTTTGGGCTCCTTTTAAAAATAGAGTCTGACTGTCAAGGTCATCAACCACGGATGAGATCTCTTCTCAGTCACAACGGAAAAACTTTGGCTTGACTCAGTATTAGCGTGAACCTGACTCAGGTGGGGGGCCAAAATGTTGGGCTTGCAGTGTCCTGGGAACCTGTTTCTGCCCCAGGCCTACTGCCTAGCTCCAGAAGCTTCCCTCAACTGGAAACTCCAAGGGCTTGGCTGCAGATGCATTTGCCCAAAGTCCCAGAGGCCCGAAGTAGGTGCTTTCCTCCACGGAGGCCAGGGTGCAGCTCAAAAGGCCCAAAGCACAGGCTATAATCCCAGCAGGGGTTCCAGGAGAAGCCTCACGTGGCCCCGACCCCTCCTTCCGCTGCTCTTCACATGCAGAGAGCCATGGCATTCCAAGTGGACATTCCCCAGCTCTGAGGCTGGCCGGTCAGGAAATGCTCAGAGACTGGCTGGCTGTGGAGGCCCAGGGGCCGCCCTCTCCCTCCTGCTTGACCAGGCAGCCCTGAGACCCCTCTGCTCCAAGTCTCACGTCCCCTAGTCAGCCTCCCCGCTATGCCCCTAGAAGAGGACAAAGGACCACATGGCCCGTTGTACTCGGTGGCACTTAGTGCCTGCATGCTACTAGAGCCTCAGAGAATTTATTTGGCTGCTTTGACAGGGCCATGCACTTTCATGGACTCTGAACCCCATGGAAGCTACCAGCCCATGGTCACAGGAAGGCATCAGCCTAAGGTCAGCCGCTTTCCTCACCAGTCAGAAGGCTTCACAGGCTGGGGTTCAGTCTCCTGGCCACAGTCAACCTCCTTCTCTACAGCCTCCAATCTGAGACAAACCCTTGGGGGCTCATCAGCACCTGAAGCCTGCAAAGACCTCTTGCTCTCTTGTCCCCAGGCCAGTGGGGTCCTTGAGCTTCCTATAACTCAGATGGCAGCTTCCCGGCTGGAGAGCTGCTCCACCCTGCCTGAGGCCAAACTCACAACCTTAGCCAGGCGTGTCACCTGCCTACTAAATGCACCCCAGGCTGTCTGCAGGTGAGGGCTGGATGCTGGGTTGCCTGGCTGTGGAAACTGCTTACCTGCCCAGGCCTAGGAGCCAGCCCCTCCCTGGCTCCCCAGAGAGTCCTCCCTTGCAGGGAGCCTGCTCAGGGCTTTGTATCTGGGGACTCAATGCTGCCAGCTCATGGCCCCCTGTGCACCTGCCTCCTGGCCTTGGCACAGCCCCAGGCAGTCCGTCTGACCAGAAGGCAAGCCAGGGACAAACCTGGGAGAGAGAAGAGGTACCTGGGGCGAGGTTGACCTGAGGGGGGAGATTCATTCTTCCCCCTCCCAGGACCCCTGGACTTGACCTCCAAGAGGGGCTGGGGAAGGAAACAGGTAAGAGCCTCAGGGCATGAGCTTTGAGAACCTTTTTAAAAAGCAGAGATTTCAGGCTGCTCCCTCGAGTCCCCTCCCCATATGCCCACCTTCCTCTTTTCACCTCCCCTGGCTGCCGGGAAGTCAACCTGGGACAGAAGAAATGGAATACTGAGTTCCTGCTTTTGCCCAGCTGGTGGAGAACTGGAGGCCAGCTGGCCAGGGCGGGGCACTGTGCCACCAAAGAGGTTTAAATCACACCCTGTGCCCGAAGCCTGGTGCACACACAGATGCACGCAATCTACAAGTAACAGCATGGAGGACTTCAAGGGTACACATCGCGGCAATCATGCGCGTTACCTCCGCCGTGGGACTTGGCCCTGGGGAACGGGGATGTTAGCTGCGCCTGCAGCGTCCGCCTTTCTAGAGAGAATAAATTCACGCACCACATGCGTAATGAAAGATTTTTAAGGTGTGGTGTGTACAGCACAGAGTAGATGTGCTGTAGGGACTGGTGGTTAGAGCCAACTTCCTGTGATGGGGAAGGCTTTTCTGCAGAAGGCACACCCTACGGGCCAGTGGGGATGACCAGGGCCAGGATCGATTGCTCTCTGGGGACCCTGGTCAGAGGCCATCTTGCCAGCCCTTTACTTCTGCTGGGTACCAGGAATGAAGAAGGCAGTGGAAGCTAGCTCCCACTCTCAGGAAGCCACCGATCCAGTGGAGGACTGACGGTGTACCTCCCTAATACCAAGCCTGGGCCACCCATGGAAAGCGTCACAGACTAGCAATAAACAATGTGCCAGAAGAATCCCCTCTCCCACCCCTAAGTATGAATAAGTTCCTTAGGGAAGTCTGTGGCTTGTTGGGAAAGGGATGGTCTCGGGACGGAGTGCTTGGGCAACTCAAGGGCAGCATGGCTGGGGATACGACCAGAGGAGTGAATGGTCCAGGGGTGTAGGAGTCAGAAGTGCCCTGCCCTTCCTGAGTTTCCTGGGGGCTCCCAGGGGCTTGGGAATCAGAAAAAAATATCACAGAGGCACCAACCCCCACGGTATGGTTGCTGTGCCCCTTCTCGGTGGGGCAGGGGGTTCTGGAGATGCAGCAGAAAAGCACAGGTAGGAACTGGCCCCCAGTCCCACCAGGAGCCAACCAAGAGGTCCCACAGCGAGCCAGGGAGGCCCAGCCAGGGTTCAGCCACGGGCTCCAGCTGAGCTCACCCAGCTCAGAAGGGGGACCTCCGGGGGCCGCCATGCTGTTTGTTTGCAACTCAGTTAAATTGCTCCCAAGGGTGAACCTTTGTTTCACAACATATTTTCAACCAGACTTCTGCAGACGTGTCTGTGTCTGCACAGGTACAAGTACACCCAGGTCCCAAAGGGCAGGCCTGGCCCCATCTGGATGCAGCCTCCTCTTCCTCAGAGCTTCCTTGACTGGTGCTTCTGAGAGAGGCGGCCTTGGGCAAACTGTGTGACGGCCGGCCTCATGGCAACTTTGGTTTCTAGGCCCTCCAAAGACAGTGGAGCGTTGGGCTGGTGGCACAAAGCCGCATGTGCTGCCCTGTCTGGACGGTGACTGCACCAGTGCCCATCTCCCTCTCCTCTGTATCTTGGGTCCTGGTCTATCCTGAGGCTGCAGGGAGGGGAGAGGTGGCCTTCAAGGAGGTCCCCCATCCTTTCTTATAGCCTTGGGTGATCCCCGGGACTCCAGGGCTCATTTGGAGGGGACAGGGAACACTCTTGGCTCTCTCTGGCCCTCTTTTCTCTTTGGACAGAAGTGCTTATATCTGGGCACTGCTGTCTCCTCATTCTGCTGGCACCTCATTACCCTCTGTGCTCCGAGAACAGATACAGAACCCTTTCTTCACTCAGTGCCCTTTCTCTGCTTCCATCAGGGTCCAGGCTCCAGGGGCCATGTGCCTGATATCCCCACAAGGACTGATAAGAGGGTCTGCATCCTCATCTCAGAAGTGTCACAGGTCCCAGAGTGTCAAGAGCAGAGGGACCCCTCATTGTATAGAGGACCAGAGAGGGGCGGGGCAGAGTAGAGCAAGCTCTGAAACTCCTTCCTCTCATGCCTCTTCCTCTTCCTCTCACCATCCCTTGCCCCCACCCCCCGTCTTCCTCTGCCTCTCTTCCCCCCCCAGAGACATGCTCATTTCATATCTAGTAACTAACACACTCCCGCACTCCCCAACTTTTGTAGATGGAGAACTCTCGAAGGATTTGGGGGATTGAGAAGAGTCCACTTAGCCACTAGAGCCAATGAGAAAGTTCTATGCTTCCGCCCCCAGAGAGAGGTGTATTGATCCCTCAGCCCCAGAGAAAGAGGCAGCAGCTCTTCTACGGGCCCACTGCAGCCAGAAGCATCTGCCCTGTGGTTGGCTCCCATGTGCCAGGCAACACTTCCAACCTCTCAGGCTCAGTGAGTCTTCAGGAGGCAGGCCAAGCCCAAGGCCAGGACACAGGAGACTCCGCCTTCAGCCCTGTTCCTGTCTTGCTGGACCACCCCGGGGACAAGTTTCCCCTCTCTGGAGCTCGATTTCCCTAAGTGGGAAGTTTTCTAGTCTTTTCCAGGAGATTTCCTCTGGTTGCATCCCTGGCCCTTGTCTGACCCAGACACATTCTGTAGAACCACTCTCCAGAAGCACTAGCTGGCATGAAACCAACAAGAAGGACTTTGCAAAGCCCTGCTCCTCAGGAAGTCCTCCGTCCCAGCTGGGGACAGTGAAGATGGGGAAGGTGAGGGACAGGAGGGGACCGGGGCCTCCATGGTGATGACAGAAGCCCAGTCCCAGCCCCGGGGTTGTTCCAAGTGCACCCCGCCCCCATTGCTGCCCCCAAATGAGTCCAGGACGCAAGGTTTTGCTGCCATGGCTGAACTTTTATTGAGCATGCTATCTGTGCACAGCCCTGTGCACGAGGTGGAAGCAAACCAGAGAGGAAGACAGCCACACCGCTGCCCACAGAGGATGGAACAGACAGGATGCTGAGGTCACAGAAGCCAGACTCAGAGAGCCCTGATAGGAAGGAAAGTGGGGAGAGCTCGCGGCTGGCTGGTCACGCATCAAGTGGCCAAACATCACTGGCGCAACCACAACCACAGGTTGGCGATGCAAGCCGATGCCAGCAGAGTGAAGAACAGAGCCTCCCTCTGGCGCCAGGTGGCACTCTGCTCCTCCAGGGCGTTCAGACGCCCGGTGATCAGGTACAGCTGCAAAGGAATCAAAGGCATGGAGTTGACTCAAGAAGGAGTTTTGCTGCTTTTGGGGAGGGGCAAAAGTATCCCCAGGTGAGAAGCAGGTGGGCCTGGCTGGGTCTGCAGGACCCAGGGTCAAGCTGCAGTGTGGGCGGGCCCAGCTTCCCTGCCCCTCCCGTGGTGGTCACTCCAGGTCTCTGGGCGCTGCCAGCCCTTCCCAGCTGTACTGGGGAAGCCAAGGAAGGAAGGGCTCTGCCAGTCTGGGGTGGGCAGGCAGGCATGGAGGCAGCACCAGGAGGGTTGCCACTCAGGGCCCATAGAGGGCCACCAGGACCGATGCCTCTGCAGGCCCATGCCCACGGCGTTTCTTGCTGAAAAAGCCTGGGCTTGGTTTGAACAAAGGCAATCCTCTCTCTCAGACTTCATTGAACCACTCTGTCTGGATAAACTATTCTTATCCTCTTCCGTTCTTTCTTCCTTTTCCTCTTCTCTTCCCCTATCCCTTTCCAGCATCTCAGGGATAGTGGTAGGTCTGAGGTTGAGCATCAAGATAGAGTGTCAGAGCTATGGTGGCTGGGAGGAAGAGGAAGAGAGCTGTCCCAACCCCAATGCTACCGGGAAAGATGCAACCTCAAGGGGTGGCCCCAGCTGCCATGTCCCGTCTACCCCAAGACGTTGTGACTCTGCCTCCGCCTGCCAAGTGGATCTCTGCTTACCTCTTTTCTCATGACTTCCATTTCCAGTCCACTGATCTCTTCCAGGCTAATATCTGTCATCATGTCTGCCCCTGGATTACTGGCAGAAAAAAAAAAAAAGACAGAGGGTCAGAGTAACTGGTGGTCCAAGACAGGGCCAGGCACAAGAGCACAGGAAAGCCATGAGGCCAAGCAGGCAAAGCTGGGGGCTTTTAGGGCAGTGACTCTACCAGCCTCCAGTCCTCCTCTTCTCTGGTAAAGAGAGCTTAGGGCCTGAGGGCCAAGCACCAATCAGACTTTCTCAGAGGCCCTGAATGTGCAGGGAGCCAGGGGGTTCAGTGTCTGTGGCAAGGCGGTACTCCAAGCACTCACAACTCCTTCCCAGTCAGTTTGCTTGCTCGCCTGTCTACCCCATTCTGGACGCTGCCCAAGCATCCAGGGCCCAAAGAGCTCTTACCGCTCATAATGGAATCTCATGCCTTGGAAGTTGCCAGGATACTCCTGGAGATGGGCATCGTCACGGCCCTGTTCTCTCAACATTCGGGATGTTGGCATCTGGAGTCTCTGAAAAAAGGAATGGTCAGTCAAAGCAGCCTGCCCAGCCCCACCTAAGTGGTCCCTGTCCTCTGCCAGAACTTTCACTTGCAGACATCAGTTGAGAAGCTGAACACACTAGTGAAAAATGTAAAACCTCAGTCAGCAGTTGGGGAAACTGAAGTCTGGCGTGGTGGCTTCACTCCCAAGGATACTTGGTAAGTGTCAGAGCTAAGGACCGAACTCTGGCTACTGGGAAATCACCTACTTCTTCTCTGGGTGAGCCAAGCCATCTCTGATGCCTTTGAAGAGCCAGTGGGTTGGGAGACCACCGATTTCCACGTTCTGTTCTTCCATCCTGGGCTGGCTCTTCTATTTGCCTCATTCTTAGAAATGAACAGCCAGCCAAGGCTCACCTGTCACCCGGGAATGTTCTGCAGTACTTCCAAAATAGCATGTAAAAGATAGTGAGTGACAGGGAAACCCCAGGACGATAAAGAGGAGTTTGATCCAGAGTTTCTCCTAGAACGATTATCAGACTATCTCTTTACTTTCCTATAGATTGGAATCAAAAGGACAAAAAAAATTTTTGAGAGCGATTTGAAGGCAAAATAAGGATGTGTGGCTGGTGGCTGGAGTTTGTCCGCGATAACAGCTTGTTATTAACTCATCACATAAGAATTAATTTCACAACACCTTCAGGCTGGTGATACCTTTACTTGTGCTCACTTGCAAAAGGCCAATTTAACTGTTCAAAAACTGTTATTCGTCTTGTTTTTTTTATTTTTAGAAACTCTATTTGGAGTTATATACATTGTAAAACCTGAGACTATAGTGTGTGTGTGTGTGTGTGTGTGCGTGTGCGTGTGTGTGTGTGTGTGTGTGTGTGTGTGTGTGTGTGTGTGTGTATGATTGAATAGGGAAACCTATAAACTGCAGTGAGTCCCAGCTTTTCTTTGTTATTTTTTTCAAAAAACGCTATTTTTGTGTGCCTTTTAAGGCACACTACTTATTTTTCCAAGTCAGCAAGATAGTATTACTCATTGTTCTTGTCTTTGTATATTGTGGGTGGCTCTCCCAGAGTTAGTTTCATTAATTCTTATTTTCAAAAATAAGTAGATGAATAAATGAATAAAGAGAATTAATAAATTAGATGTTTTAATTCTAAGTTCCTAAATTTAATTTCTAAATTCAATATAATGTCTATATTTTTTGACAGTCTACACTTCTAGTCCTCATAATTAACTTTAATTAATCTGGAGGGTATATCTACCCCTGGTCTCAGAGACATGTGTGACTTACTGGCGTCCAACCTTCTGGAGCAGCTTGATTTGGCTGTTTTTCTCATTATGCATCAGAGATGGAATCATTTCAACATTTGTTGTAACCCACTATCTAGAACAGTTAGGTCTCCCTCCTTCTCCAAACCTGTTGCCTTTTCCCAGTAACCTTTGCAACATTATCACAACCATTTTCTAAAATGTGCCCATACCCACAGTGAATGTAGCTAAAAGGATTGACTACAGAACTGTGGAACTCATGTAATTCCCTAAAACAGTCCAAGTTTCCCTCCTCCTCCAAAATGGCTGCCTTTATCCAGTATCCTTTGCAACAATATAGCCATCAATTTTTCTAGAAATTTCCCTCACTCGTATTGAATGTAGCTTAAAGAATTGGCTATAAAATGGACAGATTCACTTGTGTGGATACCCTAACATCCAGAGAGCATAGGAGTCTCACTCGCCTTACTCTGTGTGTGTGTAATTTTAAATAAAGGAAAATGTCCTTCCCCACACTAGAGTATTGCAGAGTAAAGTATATATGTACTCCCCAAGCGATGTGTGTTTCAGGCATTCTGGCCTCCCAGGGTTCAACTCCCCAGCACAGAAAAAGGACTTTTTCTGGACCTTTCTGTGCTCATTTGCCTGCTTGGCTCACCGGAGCTTCCTCCCTCCTCCCTACCCCCAGACAACTTCTAGCCCTACCTGACCTACCATGCTCAGACTGGAGCCCCTCCAACCAGCATTCCCCGCCCAGCTGGCCACGAGGCCCTTATACAGTACCTCTCTTTTGGACCAAACTGACTGGGCTGCAGCAGTGCCAGCAGCCTTTTGCTCCAACTTTTGTCGCTTATGGGAAGCACCCCGGGTCCGAGATCCACGCTCCAAAATTTCTAGAGAAAAGAACAGAGGCCCCAGGAACACCCATAAAAGTTGTGCCGGGACTTCCTGGACACAAGATACACCAGAAAGAAGATAGTCCCCAAACTTCTTAGAAATCATTCATTGACCCATTTGCCACTGTCCACCAGCTGATCCCAGGGGAGCCTCAGTTTGTTCAACTGTTCAAAGGTCAACACGTATTTACTGAGGGTCAAGCTCTGGGCTAGGTGACTAGAGAGAGAAAGAGCAATGCCCAAGAACAAGATCCCAGTCATTAACAAACTGACCATCTCTTTATGTATAATAGGGAGTGGCAAGTGCAAATCAAAAGTGATCCATCAGTGCGAATTCACACAGATGTATGCTCCATAAATGATCACAACAGTGTAACACAGTGGAAGGAAGGAGATGTTTCTAGACAAATAGGAGACAACATTGAGGTAGAGACATGAAAGAGACAAAGGGTATGATATAGCATGACATATTTTGAGGATGTGACCCTGATAGGATCTTGCAGGGATTCTTGGAGTTTGGATTTTATTCCAAGAGGCAGAGGAAGGCATTAGAGGGCTGGGAGACAGAATTGATCTGACTGAGCTTATAAATTGAGCCCTCTGATTGCTTCATGATGGACACCGTGGTAATATAGACAAGGGGAAGAAAGAGGGACCCCACATGCTGTTCCCACTCTCTTTCCTCTCAAGCTGCAAAATGCTCACATCATCTATCCCTCTCCCTGCCAGCTCCCCTGTCACCAGACCCGCAAGTACCCAGACACAAACACATGCTCATGCGTAGGTGTAGACACCTGTCTACATGGTTGGCTATAGCCAAGGGGCATTTTCGGGGATCCTCACCTGCTATCACCAGGTGCTCTTGATTTTGTCCTTGGCCTCCATGACCCAGTTCTTCAGCCAAGGATATTTCCAGCTCCTCCTCGATGCTAGGGGGGCCTCCTGCCATTACAGCCAGTTGTTCACTGTGATCTCCAGCTACCGATGCACAAGCTGTGGGAACACAGGAGGCGCTTGGAAAATCACCTCTTCGAGGGGTAGAAGCTCAGGAAGATATAGTCGAATCTGGGGGTGGAGCCAGACTCTCTCTCTCTGGGCTGAGGCCTTGGACTCAGCACCTTCTGTCCCTGCTGTATCTTGCTGGCTGGGCCCATGGCCTTCCCTGCTGTTACTCTGTAAGCAACTTAGGAGAAGAGATACAGCTCTGAGCCTTTGCCTGTGAGAAGGGCTTTGACTCGTGGATCCCTGACTTTGCCTGTCCAGGGGCAGGGGTGTCCACCTTCTATCATTTCTAGGGAGAGGCAGAGACTAACACAAGGCCCGAAAGTCAGGCAGTGGCAAAAGAGGGTTAAGTCCCAGGCCTGCTATGGCTCCTGCAAGCCCAGATCTGGTCAGTAATCCAGGCCACACCGTCCTATCAGAAGAGATTCTCTGCAGAGTACATCCTGCCTCGAGTGCCCAGGCAGTAGTAGGTAGCCTTTATGTGACATCCTGGGCAGGAACCATGGGAACCAAATGAGAGAAAGACAGGAGAGGAGAAACCTGGCTGCAATCCCCAGATCCCCCAGGGGTCTCAGGCCCCGAACCCCCTGATGTCAGTCCCAGATTAGACCGCTGTGATGGTGGGGTTTGTGCCACCTGGATCGGGCTTTAGACCCCAGTGACTCCATAAAACACTGGTCCAGGTGTTACTGGGCAGGTATGTTGTGGCTGAGTTGGCCTGTACAATCGACTGACTGTATTAAAGACATGAAGCAGCCGGGCTCGGTGGCTCAGCCTGTAATCCCGCACCTTTGGGAGGCTGGGTGAGTGGATTGCCTGAGCCCGCGGGTTCAAGACCCGCCTGGGCAGCGAGACCTCATCTCTACAATAAATCAAAAATCAGCCGGGCGTGATAGCGCGTGCCTGTAATTCCGGCTACTCGTAAGGCTGAGGTGGAAGGATCGCCAGAGCCCAGCGGGTCGAGGCTGCGGTCGCCGGGAGCGGCCACTGCCCTCCAGTCTGGGCGATGGAGTGACTCCAACTCAAAAAAAAAAAACATGAATCATCTGTCATGGAGTGGGGCCTCAGTCAATCAGCTGAGGGGCCTGAAGAATAGAGACTGGGGTTTCCAAATGCTGCCTCAGGACGAAAACATCAATATCGGCTTCAGCCTCCAGCCTGCTGGCTTCCCCTGCAGGCTTCACACTCGCCAACCCCACAATCACGTGAGCCAGTTCCTTAAAATAAACCTCTATATACTTATGCATATGCATACGTACATCCTATCAATTCTGTTTTTCTGGAGAAGAACACTGATCGGTAAAAATACCAATGGTGACTTCACTCTAGGGAACAGCCAGGCTGTTGATAAGAGGGACCCAGCACAGCTGGTGGAGAGAAGAGGAGGAAGGGGAGTGGAAAACAGGAAGGAGGAGAAGGAAGAAAGGAAGGAGGGAGAGAGGGACAGAGGGAGGGAGAAGGACAGGAAGGTGGAAAAAGGGAAGGAGGGGAGAAGGGTGGAAGGAAGGAAGGGAGGGAGGAAGGAAAACGGGAGAAAAGGGAGAAGCCAGGACCAGCCGAGAGAGGGCAGCAGGGTCTGAGGCTGCCTCCCCGACGCCCACCCCCCCACCTGTCCCATAGTCTGCCTGCATTCCTGCACCCCTCCCTCAGCTCTAGTGGAGCAGCTGCGATGAAATTCGAGCTTTCTGGAAGGCCACCTTAGTAGCAGGGGAGCTCCTGAGTGTGCTCGGTGAGACTCAGGAGCCTGGGAGGTGGGAGCATGGGTTCCTGCCCAACCGTTGAACAAAGAAAAATACAGGCGCCAAGGACGTTTCAATGGCAGGCCAACCCCAAACCATTTTTTAAGTGGAAGTGTGCTCCATGCAACCCGTGGGACATACTTACTCTGAAAAAGATTCATGGTTGATCCGACGTTCGGATGAACTGGATAGCCTGGATTCTATCTGGCAACGCTATCTCACCATGACCTCAAGGTCTGACCTTGGCCAAGTCTTTTGCTTCTTTGGGCTTCAGTTTCCCCTTTAGACCTCAGTCTCCTCCCCCTTACAGAGTGACTGAATTGTCAGGAGCACACAGAAGTCACCAGAGCCAGAGTCATATGGTTGCTTGCTCCCACAGGATCTTGAGCTACTGTCCCCAGACCACATTCCCCTCTGGGGACTAACAGGCTTTGGCCTGCTTGGGCTTCCTGGACACAAGGGCACTGGGCCCAGGTGCATGTGAAGTCACTACTCCCTGTTGGCATGGGAATCTACCACCTAAAGTCACTCAAAGAGGGTAGGAGACTTTCTTCCCAATCCCCAGGTCCCTGGCGCCACCCAGAGACCCTGGCATCTCCCCTTCTTAGCATGCTTGCTTTTCTTGGCATGCCAAGGACGAGTGGGAGGTGAGAGACAGACTTTGCTGTGTGACTTTGAACTTGTCTCTTAGCATGTCTCTGACGTGCTAACCTTTTCATAATTATAATCTTCATCACAATTTCCTTCTGAAGTGACTGTAAACTCACATTCCGGCCATTCTGAAAAGCTAACTGCCTGGTATGCCAACCTAGAGATACAAAGGGCTAGAGCATCCAGGGTGCAGAAAGACCCATCAAGTCTTACGTGGATCCTGTGTCCAGGACAGCCCATGACCAATTGTGCATGACAGGTTGCAGAGACCTTACAGCCAGTAGAAAGTTCTGCTCACCTGGAGTTTGGACAGGTAGTTCTGTAAAGAGGAAGGAGGGATCAGAGCACATCTGGAAGCGAGCTGTGTCTATATGTTTGCATTGTGCAGTGTTCTACACAAATGAGATCTTACATCTGAGGTACCTGCCATTCTGCAGCTTACTTTTTTATTTTTTTGAGTCAGAGTCTCACCTCAGGATCCCGAGTAACTGGGACGATAGGCATATACGGGCACACCCTCTCTTTTCTTTTATTTTTTGTACAGATGAGGTCTCGCTCTGTTGCCCAGGCTGGTCTCGATCTCTTGGGCTCGAGGAGTCCTCCCGCCTCAGCCTCCCAAAGCACTGGGATTACAGGCATCAGCCACCATGCCCCGCCTGCAACTTCCCTTTTTAAATGACCCGCGTGCCTTGGAGATCTCTCCACATCAGAACAGATGTACTCTTTCCTCCAAACCCAGCACAGCATTTCAGGGCACAGCTCCACCCTCACTGATCGACATTTTGGGTGTCTAGAGTTTTTCACTTTGACAAATAATGCAACACTGAGCATTCCTGAAGATGCCTCTTTGCACACACATGCATAAATTTGTTTGCAAAGCAGGTGGCTAGCCATGGAATTGTGGGCTTCTAGGGTATGAGTGTAGCCTGTATTGACTGATATTGTGAAAGGATCCTCAAAAGAGGATACCCACGCGGTGGGAGGACTGCACAAGCCCAAGAGATCGAGACCAGCTGGGGCAACAGAGCGAGACCTCATCTCTACAAAAAAAAAAGGAAATGAGAGGGTGTGCCTGTATATGTCTACAGTTCCAGTTACTCGGGATCCTGAGGTGAGACTCTGACTCAAAAAAAAGAAGGGGAAGAAAGCGTTTGTTTCTCCTCAGCCTTATCAGCAGAAATATTATGCAACTATTTAAAAAGCAGCATTATGATGGATGAAACATGATATCTATCTCATGGTTGCTTTAATTTATGCTGCTTTAATTATGAATAAACCTGGGCAATGTTTCACATGTTTATTGATCTTCTGTATTTCTTTCCTGTGAACTGTCTGCTGGAGGGCTTGGATCTTTATTAAAATAAGAGCAATTTTATTAACAGAAAGGGAAGAGGCAAAAACTCTCCCCTCCTTCCAGCTAAGTGTCTCCAAAGAAAACGCATCATCTCTTTCCCTAAAGGTGATCGTGAGCTCAGAGCTTCCACTGGGGACCAGATGAATCCGCTTAGTTGTATCCAAGTTTTTGCTGATATCTAGAGGCCACACCCACGTGGCAGGAGATCACCTCTGGCTGCTGCCTGCCCGTCTGCCGGTGTGTGTCTCTCTCTCTGCCAGTCTGCCTCCACCAAAGCCTCCTAACCATTGGCCTCTTCCAGCTGTTCCACCAGCCTGGCACTCTGCTCCCACCTCCCTTGGGTCAGCACACATGGGAGTGACTCCTAGTCCTACCAATGGGGGACCTGAAGCAAGTAGCTTCCCTGGCTCTGAGCCTCAGTTTCCCATCTTCACAAGGAAGACTGAGCTGAAGCACAGTTTCCTGGTTTCAGGGAGGAACTTTAGGGGCTACCGGGGCTTCGAGGCAGACCCCAGCTTTTCCACCCAGATCACATCTACTCTTCTGACTTTGTTATAATGGAGCTCTATGTAAGAGGTGATTCATACCAAGTGACTTGTAGGAAAGCATAAAAGTCATCAGGTGTGATGACCTCCTGCTTCCCAGCTCTGCTCAGAGTCCGGTCCCAAGCAGGGGAGTGAGGCTGCCCCGATCTTCCAGGCAGCTGTGAACTTCCTCTGAGTGTGTTAATGAACCTTATGGACCTGTAAACAATTCTCCTTCCTGCTCCTGGAAGCAGCTGGCTCTGAGATCATCCCTGGAACCACAGGGACCTTCCCCAGACAGAGAGGAAGGGGAGAGGGACTAGCAGAACCTTGCAGCTGTCGCTGCTCCTCTCCTTAAAGAGACAGGAAGGACAGACAGATGGACACAGGGTCAAATTGCAGGGACTGTAGCTGGCCCCTGGAAGGAAGGCCACTTTGTGAGCAGAGCAAGGAACTAAAAATGGCTCCACCAATGGGGACAGGACGGCCTCAATTTCCAGTTTTCTGTCTTGAATCAATTGATTGTGTACTAGGTACTGGAGGTGGCAACAAGGTCCCTGTCCTCATAGAGCTCACGCTCTAATGCGTGGATAAAAACAAGGGCTGTCCTTCCCTTAATCCTACCACTCGCTGCCTGGCTGGGAGTGTGGTAAGTTCTCCCTAGAGTTTGGCCACCCTA